TTCTCAAAGTGTGATTCCTGGACCAGTAGTATCACCTGGGTACTTGTTACAAGTGCAAAAGAAAAAAAAAAAAAGAAAAGAAAAATAAAGCAGTTTCTCAGACCCATCCCAGGCCTAATGAATCAGAAACTCTCTGAATGGGTTTGTGTATGAAGATGCCCTCCAGGTGATTGTGATACACACACAGATTCTAGAGCCACCTGTCATAGTTTCCTATGGCTGCTGTAAAAATTGACCACAAACTTGGCAGCTGAAAACAGCACAGATTTCTTTTTTTTTCTATTATTTATTTATTTTTTAGCACAGATTTCTTATCTTGTACTCTCTGCAGGTCACAAGCCCAGGTGGACTTGGTCTGAGTCCTCTGCTTAGCATCTTACAAGGCTGAAACCAAGGTGTTAATAGGGCCGAGTTCCTTACTGAAGGCACCAGAGAAGAATCCACTTCCAACCTCATTCAGGGTTTTGGCTGAATTCAGCCCCCAGTGATGGTAGAACGGAGGTCCTTGTTTCCTTGTTGGCGGTCAGCCAGGGCCCTCTCTTAGCTTGCAGAATCTACCCACATTTCTTTCACGCTTTCCATATAGCCCCATCTAGCTGTGGTGGGTTGAGCCCTTTTCACACTTTGAATCCCTCTGCCTTCCTCTTCTGCCCTGCCTGATGTCCTTGTCTGCTGCATCTGTATGACTGCCTCTTCTACCCACATCCAGGAGAAAGCTGTTTTTAAGGGCTCAGCTTTACATTGGGCCCACATAGATAATCCAGGGTCATCTACCTATTTTCAGGTCCAGTGATTAGTAACCTTAATTATATCTGCAAAATCTCCTTTACGATGAAATGTAACATATTCACAAGGGATCCAAGGTCATGGGGACCAAAATTCTGTTTACTTGGCGAAACTCATCACAGGGTCTTTCTTTTGGCTTTGCCAGGGTGCTGTGTTGCTCACCAGGTGACCCAGCCCCACCACCAGCATCCCATTCTTGCCCAGGGACCAAAGGTGGCTAGGGGAAACTGAACTGAGGACCTGCCCTGCCTCACCAGGAAGTGAAGCTGCATTTCCCATGGGCTCCACCTGTGCAGCAGGGCACCTGTCCTTTGTGTCCCTCCTCAGCCCCTCCCTCCCTCATTCTCCAGAAGGGGGTGGCTCCTGGTTTTTCCATTCCTGCCCATATCTCTGCTTTTTTCCCATGGTTCAGAAGTACCATGGTGATGCTGGCATAGACCTAAGCCTAGGGCTTCTTCTTTAGAAGCAGTAAGCATAGTGCTTATGAGCACAGACCCTAAAGCCAGGCAGTTTAGTTTCACATTCTGTGACCTTGGGTAACTCTCTGAACTGTTCTATGTCTCAGTTTCCCCGTCTGTAAATGGGAGATAATAATAATGTCAGATCATTAGCCAGTGTTCTTACTACTTATGGAAGAAGCAGTATGATTCAATGTTTCCAGGCTTGATTCTTGAAATGCTGAAGAAACTTGGAAAATTCTCTCTTTTTCATATCTCACTTTTTCAACAAAGCTTTGTTTTAAAACATCTTGCCTTGCAGGGTCTCCATGGGTCCCCACTCCAATCGATGTGTTGAACTGGCTAGGGTGATAATCATACAGACACCATGGCAAAGAAGTAAAACTATCACTATTTGCATATGCAATTATTTCATTAATTTTCAGGACAAATTCATAAATTATATAAGGTTATTACCATTTTTGTTTTACAAGTGATGAAACTGAAGCTTAGCTTAAGTAGCTGACTCGATATCATACATATGGAGGTAGGTGAATAAACCCACTATTAGTCATTAACTTCTCATGAATTTGCCTATCAACCAAAGCTAGCCTTGTCTTCCAAGAAAGCCTCACAGAGTTTGTTGGCAGTAGTGCTCAGGATTGGTAAAGAGAGAAATTCATGAAGGGAACCTGAGGCTGCAGTCCTTTGGAGGGAAGGCAAGTTTGGGTGGCCTCCTGGGCAACTAAAAAGCATCCTGGACCATTGTTTTGCAAAAGAACAGTAGAAAGAACGGTGAGAGCTCAGAAGGTTGAGGCAGAGGGTTCAAAGACGTTTTTTCCAGGAACATCTGGCAATGGGGAATTTCTGCAGTGAATTATGCATTGCATTAACATATTTGTCATTTGAAGGCACTCCTTGGGATAGGTACCTTGAGAGATTTTCTGTTTATCAGGACACTGTCTAAATTAGCAAAGCACGTGACCCTTGGCTGCTCATAAGGGAGCTTGTTTTACACTGTTAGTCTTCTTTGTCAGGTTTTGCTTTTTTTGTTATGAGTGATGATGAGTGGCTGCTAGCACCTTGACCCATGCCTCTTCCTTACCCCCATGGAATGAGTCTGAAATTATCTAAGTTATTACCATAGAGGTTGTTTTATCACCTTTCATGTATATGCAATTTGATACTTTTCAAGGAGAATATTTTCTCAGAGATTAAGTAAATTGCTAAGAGCTTGTTCTTGGGCTTGTAAAATTGCAATGTATGGACGAGGACAACCCTGTTGTCTTTTGTTTTTGACAACCACTGTTTTTCACTCTTTGTGCCTAGTCAATAGTCTAAGTTTCCCTAACCAAAGCAAGTAGAATATGTAATTTTTTTCTTTGAATTTTAATCATTGAATAAAAAGATATATTTTCTTTACAAAGAATCTCTTTTGTGGGCAAAACAGTCTGCATGAATTGTACGGATGCGTGGTATGGATTTGAGACATGTTCCTTTGGAACATGAGAGGCTGGCGTATGTGACTACACACTTCATTTGTCCTCTTGCCTTCTTATTTGAGTTGATTTGCTTGTTTCACACAGAGGAATGTGTGGTTTCTATGACTAGGTTTTCCCCTTCAACAGATTAATAGCATTTAGCCTTTCCTTGCCTTGTGCACTTGAATTTTACCTGTGTCAAAAGAAGTGGCTGAAAGATTGCTCCCCAAAGTAATAAATTTAAGTCCAGTGATTTGCTCAGTCCCTCTTGTCCTTTCAGTTTTAGATTTATAAGGCCTCTGACCTTCGGGATCCAATGCTCCACTCCGTCTAACTCTGCTTCTTGGCTCACAGTTGGCTTGAGGTGTTTGTTCAATATCTCCCATTTTTGCTTTATGCATGCTAGATTAGTGTCTCTAATGTGAGTGCCCCAGCATTTTTGTTTCTCACTTCAGCATTTTTTGAGTGCCATTTCTTTACAGTAATATATTGGAACATGCATAAAGATGTTGTGTGCCTTCCTTGGTCTACCAGCTTAGGTGCACAAGTGTGCCCGTGTAATAGTGGTGATTCTCTGCACAGTCCCACTCAGTGCCTTTCACTATGGTCTTAAAATGACTTCACTACTCCACTACTAGTTACCTTTTCCTACAGGACCTCTGTGTGCATCATCGTTATTATGACACTCATAATTCCATCAGAGCTGGAAAGACGTTTTCAGGGAACTTCTCAGAAACTTGCAATCATGTGTCCTAGGTACTGGGTTACTTAGGTAGGACTGGCTTTGGCAGGGATGAAGGTATCCTGTGTGGATAGAAAGCATCTGGTGTTTTCATCCTTCTACAGCACAGGAAGGTGTGCTGCAGCAGCAGAATTCTGGGCATGTCAGAGCTGCTATGTGGCAGTTGGTAGTGTGAATGGGAAATGTGTAAAGTGCTTTTAGGTTTTTGGAGTACAGGCAGCATATCCGTGCCAACTATTGTTGTTGTGAAGGAACCCAAATCTAAATCGGTCTATATGGTTGGATTGCTGTACCCAGTTTATTTAAAATATGGCATTTAGAGAGAGGTAAAATACCAGCACACTGTGGCTTTGCCTTTTTTTTTTCTTTTCCTGAAGCAAATTTGTTGGGAATGTTTGCAAAAGGACTAGCTTTAGCAGATCAGTAAAGAGACATGTGTCTATTGTGATAGACCTTATTTTTAGTATTAATTCTAATAGAAACAATCATCTATATTGATTTATAAGAGTGGAATTGAGTGGGGACATTGATTCAAAAGAAGAGAACAGCTATGAACAGTTTGATTTATGACGGTATCAAAGCAAGTGATTCAGATTCAGTTTGTACCATCTAAGGTTCCTTGTCCTGTGGGTAGTTGTCAAAATATATTCAGTAAAGAGCAGTCAATTTCTCAGTGAGAAACACGCCCCTGGCAGAATGTCTAATTTACTCTATTGAGTCCAGGACCATATCGTGTGCCTGATATGTGTGAGGTTGCTACCTGCACACCCGTGGTTCTTGGGTAGGAGAGGATTGTGCTAGAATGCAATAAATAACCTTATCAGACGCTCACTTTATGGGGCAAGAGTGTAAATGCAGTGAGTAATCAGAGAGCATGTAAATAGCAGCAAGCTAATTTTCAGAATCGCTGCCACTCATTTTGCAAGATAACTTTCCTGATTAAGAGAAAGAAACTCAGCTCTCCAAGGGAGCATAGTCTCCTCAGTGGTCGATTATGATGTGAAAAAAACACAAAGAAGCCTCTCCTTAGGACCTAGGGTCCCTCATCCAGTGGTCGTGATGGGTTTACTGTGCTTCCTGAAAGTCTTTGCTGATCTCCCCAGACTGACTTTGGTGTCCTTTCCTCAGTTCTCCTGTGGCCCTCTCTGTATTCCTTGGTCACAGAACAGGTCACATTGAGGCATAATTGTGGCCGACCTCTGCACTGAAGCTATCAGCTACTCGAGGGCAAGGTCAAGTCTTTCCCAGCATATCGCAGGTGGATATGTGTACTAAACACTGAGTGAGTGAAATATTTCAGTGTCAATTGGGCACCAAGAGTTTGTCCACTGTATACAGGTGCCCTCAGGAAATATCCATTTTCAGTCTGAACCCAACATCGCTACCTCACATAGTTCTGCTTCTGATTTCCCCATCTCTAACTTTATAAGGTCGGACCAGACAGATAATTTTCAAGTATGCTCTAAGTTTTGGTGACTTATTCATTTTGAACCCACAAGGTAACAGATTAGTTCTGTGATCATTATTTCTAATGGATAATGTGTGTTTCTGTAGGGAGCATGACTTCGGCAACTTCACCTATCATATTAAAATGGGACCCCAAAAGTTTGGAAATCCGAACTCTAACAGTGGAGAGACTTTTGGAGCCACTTGTTACACAGGTAAGAGGTGCTTTGAAATACTTTGTTACATGTGGATATTTCTGTTGGAATTGTATCATGACTTTCCAAAGAATTTAGAAATCCTTAAATGTGAATAAATCATGCCATAATGCTAGTTACTGAATATGTATTCCTGCTTGAACTGTGGACAGTTTTTCTTTTTTTCTTTCTGCCCAATAAGATTTGGAGTGCTTTTTAAAAAACTCTTCGTATGATTTTTGAAATTAAGTAGATGAGGTAATTAAAGAGGGGGCTTTGGTGAAGGGGACTCTCATTTGCAGTAATGGATTCAAAGTCTAAATAAATCATTCCTAGCTTACTTTCAGATGCTAATGCAGTTAGGAAGAACGATATTGACTATTTAAGAGCAAAGTATATTTATTGAATTACTTTTTCTTTAGTTTACAAGGGAAAATTCATCATGTCAGAATGATGAAATGTTCCATTTTTATGTTGTCACATTTCCACAAGAGGACTGTTAACAGAAAAAATATCCTTAGGATTTTTAAATTTTAAAAATTAATTTTTGTGTCTTGTGAAGCATATTCTTTGCTATATTGACTAAATTTCATGGAATGTGAAAATTCAAGATTTTAATGGTATATTTGTAGAGAGATACTATGTCAAGTTAAATAGAGGCCACATACTGGTTTCCTCTAGCTGCTATAGCAAATTACTGTAATCTTAGTGGCTTACAGCATCACAAATTTATTATCTTATGGTTCTAGAGGTCAGAGGTCCTAACGTTAGGGTATTGGCAGAGCTGCATTCCTTCTGGAGGCGCTAGCAGAAAATCTATTTCTTTGCCTTTTCCATGTTCTAACGGCTGCTCTCTTCTTTGGCCCCTTCCTCCATATCGAAAGCCAGCAATGTGGCACCTTCGAATATCTCTCTGACTCTGACCCCTGCTCCTGTCCTCATATCTTATCCTGTCTCCCTCTTATAAGGACCCTTATGATTACATTGGGCCCACTCAGATTCTCTAGAATAATCTTCTCATCTCAAGATCCATGACCAAATCACATCTGAAAAGTCTCTCTTGCCATTTTAGGTAGCATGTTCAGTTTCCAGGGATTAAAACACTGACGTTTTCTTTGTGGGGGCTCATTGTTCGGTTTACCATAGTCTGCCCTCTGGCCACTGCTCCAAATTCACATCCTTCCCAAGCAAAACACATTCACCAAATCCCAGATCCTCAAAAGTCTCAACTCTTTATAGTATCATCTCAAGACCAAAATCTCATCTAAAATTGATCAGCTTAAAAATTCCAAATCTCATCATGTAAATCATCTAAATTAGGTATGAGTAAGGTTCTAGTTATAATCCATCCTCAAGCAAAATTTCTCTCTGTCTGTGTACCAGTGAAATTAAAGGACAAATTATATGCTCTCAAAATGCATTGGTGGGACAGGCATAAGTTAACAGTTACAGATATTTTCATTTAAAAAGGGAGAATGTGGAAGAAAAAAATGGGTTACCAGTTTCAAGCAATTTAGAAATCCAACTAGGCAAACTCAGTTATATTTCAGAGCCTGGGAATAATCCTCTGTGGCTCAAGGCTCTGCCCTCTGGGCCTGGTTCTTCACCCTAAGAATCATTATTCTTTTTTCATGAAAGATATCACATATTTTCACCTGGATATTTCTTGCCTGTATAATTTTGAGAGTACACAGCCTTTCTGAATTTCATCTTTCTCTGTTTTTTTTTTTTTTTTTAGTCCATATTGGCAGTGTTTCTACTGATGTAACATTCTTGAGAAACTTGTGGTTCTCTTTTGTAAATCTCTGGGGTTTTCTCTATTAGAAAACAGGCTGCTTCACAGATCTTTCCTGGATAATCTCATCTCCATTTTTGGCCTCTGTGGAAATGACTGAGGGTGTCTATGAATCCCATGCCTAATCTTTGCAAGAGCTCCCTCCGTGAATGAACATTCTGAGGTTTTAATCCTTCCAAGGTACTAGGCAAAGGTTGTCCAGACACACGACTGACTTTTTCTCCAGAGCCACACTTTCCTGAAAGTGAGACCTCTAATTTTAGCATCTCTTGCAATCTGCATAGGTCAAGAAGTTTCCAAATCATTGGGTCCTGGTTCCTTTTAGCTTAATAATTCTTAACTCAATTTGTTTCTTTCCTCTGACACTTTGCTATAAGCAAGAAGAGGAAACCAGGCCACTCCGTTCAGCACTTTGCTTGGAAATCTCCTCAGCTAAATATACAAGTTCATCACTTATAATTCTGATTTCTATGTAATTATAGGGAGTAATTCAGCTAAGCTTTCTGCCACTCTATAACAAATATTCTTTTTCCTCCGCCTTCCAATAACAAGTTCCTCATTTCCTTCTGAGCCCTCACCAGCAGGGCTTTTAACATCCATATTTTTACTGTCCATTCAAGGTAATCTAGGCTTTGTCTATCATGCTCCTCAAAATTTTTCCAGCCTCTGCCCACTGGCAATTCCAAAACCATTTCCACATTTTCAGGTATTTGTTATAGCAGCACCCTACTTCCCAGAGCCAAAATCTTTATGTCTATATATTTCCAATTCCTACTATAACAAATTACCACAATCTTAGTAGCTTAAAACAACGCCCATTTATTATCATAAAATTCTAGGGGTCAGAGGTCCTAAAATTAAGGTGTTGGTTGGGCCGTTCTCCTTAAGGAGGAAGTTCCTTCCCGTTTTTAGTGTCCAGAGTGCACCTATATCCTTGGTTATGGTATTTTCATCCATCATTAAAGCCAGCAGTATAGCACCTTCGAACCCCTCCCACTGACTTCAGCATCTACCATCACATCTCCTCCTGCCTCTTTTATAAGAAACCCTGTGGTTATATTGGGGCCAGATATTCTAAAATCATCTTTCCATCTTGAGATCTTTAACCTTTATCACGTCTGTAGAGTCCCTTTTGCCATTTAAGGTAACACATTCACAAGTTCTAAGGATTAGGAAGTAGACATGTTTGTTTGTAACTGCTGAAACATTTCATTAGGTTTATGCCCATTTTCCATTTGGTCACGATTCTTGTTAGTGCTATACAAATTTCTTCAGGAAACACCTAATACTGATAGACTCTTAGATTTGGGAGTGTGTTGACTACTGAGATTGTGGTCTGTGGACTAAGGCTGATCCATGAATTATTTGTTATTGGTCAGCAGTAAGCACAGAAATTGAGAGTAAGTGCCTTGAGAAATTTATGGCAGTTTTATAGAGTAATTTTATGTCTGTTGAATCTAATGATAAAATTTAGGCTTGTTATTTTATCTTTAAATTTCTTTTGAATTATTTATTTTGTTGTATTTTACAAAAGCTTTGGTTTGTGAACTTTTGCAATAACAAATATATGGCCTTTCATCATAGATAGCTTGAAAAAGACTGGTTTAGGAGATATTTTGGAGTCGGTCCGCTCTGAAATGTGGTTCTGTCAGCTGAGTTATAAAAGCAGATTGCCTTTTCCTAGCTTTGGAATTTTCACTTCAGATTACATGTCAATATATTTAACCCTTATCATATGGAAGAAATGAAACAATAATTAGAACATAGTGCCTGGTGCGATGATTAAATGTAGTCTCCATTTTTCTTTTTGAGATGGTTATATTATTAGGCTAATACTAGCCATACACCAATACTGTTTAAGTCAGTGAGAAGAATATGAGTGAATGCAGCATGGGCGAGCACAACATTACACGTAAACTGTCTTTTATTTCTTAAACTTTTCATACCTTTATACTTTTGCTCTTGTATTTGACTTATCTAAAGTACAGCAATCTAAGATTACAATTAAAGATTGTAGTCTTTTTCCATATATCTTTCAGTCCAATTATTTAGAATTCTTTTGTCAGATAAAGGTAATGCATTAAAAATATTTATTAAAAATAGACAGATAACTGTCTAATTCATATTTGTTCACATATTACAGTAGAATACTTAAAAGTCTTGTTGAATTTCACACAGTAACTTAGCACTATAACTAGTCTTAACATTCTACCAACATCTTCCAATATCTAAATGGTTTACTTTTCTTCCTAGTTTTACTACACTGATTTAAAAATTAAAAAAAATTCTCTCAAAAATTGTGACTTTTATGACAGGGTTTTCTAGATACTGTTTCCCCATAATATTATGGCTGTGTTACCAAGATTCACCATTCCCTCCCCTGGAATGAAATCTTAATGACTGATGTGATTGTTAACCCATGGAGGACATATGAATAAGTAAGGAGAGATAAGAAAATGTTAAATATAAACTCCATGCTCAACATTTAAAACAAAAGGTGGAAATGAGAGAGAAAACTAAACTAAACAAAGACCCCATATGAATCAAACACATACATACAACTTCTTTATGAATGTAATAAAATTCATTGCTATATTCAGTGACACAATATGCCCATAGCCTTCCTACAGTTTCTGATAAAGCTGGATAAGGATGAAATAAATACCAGAAGTTAAGGAGTTCTCAATAAAATCCATTCACTGTCATAAGAAAAATTATATTAGGAATTTGTTGTTGATAAGTTTTTAAAGTAGTAAACAAAACTTCTCCTCATTTGTATCATAATATATATGAGGTGGCATATTTATCATTTACAATGCTGAAATGTCAAGATTCCTTTTGGAAAATGTTTACATTATGGAAATCATGCAATTTCAAGTGAGAAAAGATTCATCTTAGGAATTTTAGACCTTGAAAAAGTTGCCTGAACTTTTATGAATTCAAGAAAGTAAAGATCTTTAATAGGCCATGTTCACTTCATACTTTACGTACTTGGAGCTTCTCGGGCCATCTTCTCTCTCTCCCAGATGAGGCAAGTGAGGCTCTGACAGCCTCAATGTCTGTATCACACAGCCAGTATCCACATGCAGATGCTCTTAGCCTGTATTTTTCTTGGGGGATGTTGATATTTTGTAACCCAGGGAACACCTTAACATGTTAGCATGTTACTCTTGTTTGTACTGAGCTTCTGTTCATCCTATTAAAATAAAATTTCTTTCTCTGAAAA